AATGAGCAGAACAAGCAGTAGATCCTCCATAACCTATCTATTTTTCATGAAATTTTTCGTCTAGGAACTGTTCGGCTAAAGTGAGGCGATGCACCATCATGCATAAACCATGCGAAGTATAACATCATGTGGAATATCTTCCAGTAGTTCATTTAATTGTCTTCTTTTGCATACAATTGATCTATTAATATTTGATTAAGAAAAACAGATCCAAATAAATTGTCGCCGAATAATCCTGCCCACATACATTTACACTGAATTGTCATGAATGTTAATGTTAATGTCTTGATTGAAGAATGACATATGGGTTTTCATCAGATGATGAGTATTATGAAAATTAACTTATTCCATCTCTGGTGAACGCAACTTCGTCAGTGAATAATGCAACCGGTAGAAAATGTAATGGCGATAGACATCTGCAAGAATCAGTACAAAAAAAGTACAAAAAAGAATTCTTGGAGGAAAATCATCCTCTTAAAGTGTCTGTTTGATTGAACGTGGATAAAGCAGTTGGTCTCGTAATACTCTTCACATCGTCATATGTCCAATGTTCTCCATTGCTGTTATTCTTTGAGTACTATTTGTTATTTTCTTCAATGCGATTCAAGATCCGTTCTTCATAATTAACAGTTCTGACATTAGTTAGTCTATCATTATCTCGCTTTTTAAACGAATCAGTATCTTGTAAACGTTAATCCTTAAAATTTAGATTTTTTTCTAGACATCTGTTAAAGAGACGATTCGCGTATAAACGTTTTATTCAGCTGAATTATATTCAACAAGGCCATGCATTGAATGCATATCTACTATTTCTCGATTTGAATACATTTTATTCATTTAATCATGCACTTTTAGTTATTAACGCAAATAGAAAATTATCGCGTATTTTTATCAAGAGAACAAACTGAAGTGATTAAATTCAATTGGACGTGAGAAATCAACAAGGTCAGGAAATATCCAAAACTGTTTATAAACAGAACAGTGATTTTCTTCTATAAAGGTAAGCAGTTACTTATTTCAGTTTATCCTCTTGCTAGAAATATTTGATAATTCTCTATTTGCGTTAGAAATGCATGATTAAGAAAATAAGATGTATTTAAATAAAAAAAATAGTAGACATATATTTAGTGTATAGCCTCGCTGAATGTAATTCAGCTGAAGCAAGACGTTCATATGCGAATCAATTTTCTAATAGATAAAAAAACATTTCAAAGGTTGTTAAAATTCAAAAATAACTATAACTTTGAAACAAGGTCGAATAGGACAAATGTTTATATGAATTTTTTTCATTGTTTTTGTGTCCCCTATTCACTCCTGAAGTGAGTCTCACATGTTACGAAATATCTTGTGTACATATATACATATACACAAGGTATATCATTTTATTGTTGACAATCAAATATCTAACAACCGCGAGATTTAAAAAAATGTATTAGAAAAAATTATAGGATTTTGAAGAAACTATATGATTACGATATTAACTCATTCCCAGATGAAACTACCAATATTTTTTCTATGGTCATTATTTTTTAAATAAATATACTTTCCGTTACGTAATATGATTCTTTTAGTTACTCTGGCTATAAAAATATTAAGATACAATAAAAAAATCTATAGTTTACAAGATATCTTATATTTCGTTGACATATTCCAATATATATCTCGTAAATTATCTTTTTTTTTGACAATATCATATCTTAATACTCTTGTGCTTACATTAATGAGAGACAACTTAATATAATTTAAAAATAATTATGCAATTAGCAATATAAGTAAATACTCTATTTTAAACAATTGTATGCTTTTTTGACATAAATCAATTTATCTCATTATTTTACACAAAATATGAAAGTACAAAAAATGAATCAAAAATAAATAATTTACGAGATGTTATATTTATTTTAGAATATTTCAAACAAAGTATAAAATATCTTATAAATTTTCATAGTGATTTTTAGATAGAGCGCGCATGCCTCCGTGTGTGTGCGTGTGTGCGTGCGTGCGTGCATGTGTGTGTGTGTGTGTGTGTGTGTGTGTGAAATATACAGGCATAGTTACAACTTTTCATATTTGTCTCTTAGGATCAGTCTTATTATTTTTGATTAACTTAATCGGCCGATTATTCCATTGGAATTGACCAATGCATTGGGAAATTGCTTAATAAATACTTAATAAATGTGATTGATCAATTCCAATCGAATAATCAGCTGATCAAATTAATCAGCGACGATGAGATTAGCCTTTATCAAAATAGACTTGATTTTTTTTAGTTTTTATCCATATCTTATCTTAATACTTTAGTTAAGTTAATAATTAAATTATCAAAATATAAATAGAAACAGAATGCATAGATAATTTTGCTTAATTAGCAAAAAATATAAGTCTTATTGTAATAATGTTATATCTGATTTACCAATTTTTTTCTGTTAATACAGAAGGTGTGATTGAATTCCTAGGAACTCCATGTATCTTCATTCGTAATGTATCAATGAGGGATTTTTCATTTTCACAAAAAGTCATGTCTTCTAGAATAAAAACATACTAAAGTGTATTAAATATTTAGTAGTATATTTTCTATAAATAGTTATTAACTATTCTGAATATAAAAATATTAAGATATAGTTATGGATATAAAAGTGTTTAAGATATTAAGAGAAGTAAATAATTTATAGTGCAATTTTTTTACCTTTTCTGATCCTCGAAGGTATTAAAAATAAATTTAACCCACTTTCTGTTGAACAATGACTCATGTCTATACCACTATGAGTTTGTAATCGAGAACTAGAAAATACTTTATTATAAAAATCCTAAAAAAACAAAGACAATAGTTCTAAAAATCTATTTTGTATAATAATTCTAAACTCATATATTCATATATTTCTACATATGCACGCTTATATATTTATAATTTTTTCAGAACCAATTATCTTATTTCTTAATTTTCTTTTTAATATTAATAAAT